ACATTTTTGTCCCGTATAAAACACTGACAAGTTTACATTTTACATTTGATATTCTTAAAACTTCTTCCTTCCTTTTGTTGTTGATTTCATTATAATTACATTGATATATATTTGAAAAGGATGATTTTAGTGGTTCTTCGAATGCATATTGACTTTTTTTACCAACATAACCACGTATTTCGATGTCATTGTGTTTTTGTTCAAAATTTCTAATAACGCATTTAACGCCGTATGTCGTATATTGTACTCAACAGCCCATTCTCTAACATCACAACACAATTAAAAAATTCCCTGATATTTTGAACTGCCTTCGTCTTCTATACTATATTCACTTCCTTACAAAGATTCTCCACTTATATTTTTCTCTTGCTGTGAATCTGAATCAGCGGTATTCTATGTTGAATTATCAATAACAACATTTTGTGTGAATATTTCACATTGGCAATTTTGTGCGGAACCTTCGCCAACTTTTACGTCCTTTCCTTGCCTGATATAAAACTGCGACCTGACACATGAATTAACTGTTGATACGTTTTTTGTACTTTTCTTTTGTATGAACCACTTTTTTTCAACCGCTTCCATTTATTTAAATCCATTTTTACATACAAAAATCGTAAAAAATAGTGACAAAAAGCAAAAACATTGACAACAACGATAAAAGAAACCAAAATCGTCCCAACAATATATTTTTGAGACCATTATAAGCAATAGTATTCTTTTACGTGGTTTCACGAAGTTTATTTTGATTGGTAATTATATTAAATAGGATCATTATAAACGTGTTAAGACTACAACAGTGCTCGACATATTTACATTAGAACCAAGTTCAGTTACTCTTAGACTAAACCGTTCTAAACTCAGTTACCCATTATTGATCCATAATGTCAACCTAAAAACCTTTATAAATTCAAGTAACAAGTGAAAATGGTTTCCAGTACGATTAGTTCCAATATATACTCTTAAATGCGTACTTTATTTTTATTGGATTTATAAAGATCCTTGTAGTCCATTACAAGTATAGCTTACAGAACCATGTATTCTTCAGCGCGTTAACACTTTTGGAGTACCCCTATAGGACATCTTAGCCTATACTGTGCTGGTGAAACAGGTCTATAAACGATAATAAATAAATGTATAAGGATAGATGTACTACAAAGCCAAATAGATTCCGAACATGCTTTTAAAGGCATGGCAGTAATTTCTAGAAGCTCTAAGAGATTTTTATTAGTGCTTCAGGATTATAAAATGTGCATTATAGGATAATTTTGTTGCTTGGGAAGGATCTCAGCAGAGCATCTCAACAAGTGAACCTTAAAATTAACTTACAATAATTGTTTAATAGGAGGAAAATTATGTCTAACGTTGTTCCATAACACGATAAACGTTTGTAAATTTTGTCGACAAATACATATCTGGGACCCCACTTGGGTAAGTCGAAATTCGAGATTTTTCGATTCGAGAAACCGCTGAATTCAACTTGACTGAGCAACATTCGGGAAACTTCGCGATGTCTTCTCGTCCGAAATACCTCGGTGCCTGAAGACCAAGGTCTAATGGTAGCCATACACCCTACGAGAAATCGTTACGATTAGACTGTACCGTCCGAACGGTACCGATAAATCGTAGCGTGTATGTTATAAAACTGCACAGTTTTCTATACGTAAGCCACGTACGATAAACTGTTCCGTTCGAACTGTACAGTCTGATGGTAAAGATTTCTCGTAGGGTGTATGGCTACCATTAGGCCTTGGTGTATGGCCATAACAGTGCGACTTACCAGTCATGTTAAACGGAGCTGAATCTTGGTCGTAGAGAATAAGCCTAATAAGAGAAGGCTCAGAGTCGCACAGCGAGCGATGGAGAGAGCTATGCTCGGTGTTTCTCTACGTGATCAGGAATAAGTTTTTAATTTTGAATAGGAAATTAATAAAGATGTTAAATATACAAAACATTTTAAAATTTTCAGCGGGGATTCAAATATTTTATTTGAGGAAGAAATAGATTTTCCAACGATCAAATCATTCATAAATTATTACAATCTAACGAATACGCTACGCCATTTTATCATTTGAAGATTTGAAATTATAATTGAACGTATTAGCTAGAGCTGGGACCGAACTCGTTTCATAGAATTTCCCAATTCTACATATTTTAATGATGTTATTTTTAACCGCGAAACACTGGCATAAAACAACGCCACCAAAACCGTCTACTACGTACTTCTCCAGACAGGCGAGCGCTCCAGTTCGAGCGACAAATCTGATATGGCCTGTGCCCTACCTCTCTTAAAATGTGATGTGTCACGGTGATATTGTATCTACATTACAGTGTAGTGTAGTAGCGTTTAACTTTGTTTGTTTTAGTTAGAGAATAGCACATCAAATCTGTCAATGTGGCATCAGCACCAGCCTTAGAACTTAGAACGATTTCATATTGGGCATATGTAAAAATGAGATCTCATAATTAGAACCTATGTACATACCAGGCCACTCAGAAAGTTTTGCGAAAAAAGTTTTTATGTATAAGACACTGGCCACTTGTAATTATTTTGAAAACTTCGATTATTTAAAAGTAAAAATACCACTGTTCGATTTTCGCCCTCCGCACTTTTTCGAGAGCCAATTAAATATTTCTTGTCTCATTAAAAATATGATCTGCATCGAGAACATTTTCGTGCTATGATTTTTTATGATTTTAAATGTGGCAGGTCGATAGTTTCCCGGCTATTTTGCGCAAAAAAGCAGGTTCATTGCTACGGCGGGTTCGTGGTAGCCGCAGTAGTGTTGTGAGGGATTTAGTGGCTCGTGGGGACTGTCCACTGATAAATATTTTTGTAAATAGGCTTATATCTGTTTTTAATATAATTTACTTACATAGTATTAAGTATTGTATACTTACACATGGATCTATGTTGTCCGAATAATAAATGACTTGAATTTGAATTTTAAAACCTGATGAGCCATTTGATCGATTTCGAACTGCTTTTATGGATGAAGGACCTTCAAAAGCTCCACTCCACTCCACCACCAGTACACTTGACCCGTATACTAAAAATAGAACAGTCAAAAACATTTCTTCCATAGCCCAATCTCTTTCTGATCCCTTTACTTTTTCTCCAGCGACAAGTGATGACATCCGTAAAATTATTCTATCTATCAAGTCAAAAGCTATTGGATCGGATGACGTCAGCAGAGAAATGATAGTCAATATTTTAGACTATATTCTTCCAGCTATTGAGCACATTATCAACTTCTCTCTTCTAAACAGTGATTTTCCTCTAGCTTGGCGTAAAGCTTTTGTTCTTCCTCTGCCAAAAGTTTCCTCTCCTCAGCTACTTAGTAACTTCAGGCCTATTTCCATCCTTCCCTTTCTTTCTAAAGTTCTTGAAGCAGTTGCTCATCATCAAATATCCTCTTTTATCTTTTCCAATAATCTTCTCACTCCTTTTCAGTCTGGGTTCGCCCTGGACATAGTACCACTACGGCTTTGCTCAAAGTTACTGAGGACGTCAGGATAGGCATGGAGAAACAGTTGGTTACAGTCATGGTACTCATAGACTTCTCTAACGCTTTTAATATGGTTGACCACGATATTCTCCTTGCTATCCTGAAACCCTACAACTTCTCACCAATGTCTCTGGATTGGTTCTCATCCTACCTCTGGGGCCGTCAACAAGCAGTTCGTATTGGACAAAACCTTTCAAAGTGGAATACCTTGAATGCTGGTGTACCCCAGGGTGGTATTATCTCTCCTTTGTTGTTTTCTGCCTTCATTAACTTCCTTTCCTACTCGCTTGGCTGCTCCTACCATTTCTACGCTGATGATCTACAAATTTATACCCAGACTTTGGCTGAGGATGTTGATATGGCCATTTCCATGATAAATTATGAATTACAACGTATCAGTGCTTGGTCTGCTGACTTTGGAATTCAAGTGAATCCAACTAAATGTCAGGCCATTATCGTAGGTGGCTCTAAACAAATAGCTAAAATTGACCATAGTTCTCTCCGGCCTGTCATGTATGAAGGCACAATACTGCCGCTTAGTTTAAGTGTTAAAAATCTTGGTCTTTACATTGATTCCTCTCTCAGCTGGACCACACAAATTGCCGAAGTGAGCCGCAAGATTGTTTACTCACTTCGTTTCTTGAATCGGTTCAGAAATTTTCTCCCCATCAAAACAAAAATTTTGCTTGTAACATCTCTTATATTTCCGCTCATTGATTATGCTGACGTCTGTTACCCCGATCTGAATGCTGATCTTCTAAATAAATTGGATCGTCTTATCAACAATGCCATCCGCTTCATCTTCTGTCTTCGTAAATTTGACCACATATCTGCTTACAGGTATCAACTTAAATGGCTTCCTATACGTCAAAGAAGACAGCAGAGAATGTTATGTACTCTGTATACAATTCTCTTTAACCCACACTCTCCAGACTATTGAAGATCCAAATTTCAGTATCTTTGTGACACACATAACCTTCAACTTCGTTCTAGTGATACTCTTGCTCTATCCCAACCTCTCGTTCACTCTGGCTATATGTCTGATTCCTTTGCCCTTCAATCTTCACGACTCTGGAACAGCCTCCCTGACTCCATTAGAAAGTCACCTAATAGGTTAATTTTTAAAAAGAAAATTCATGCATTTCTTCTGGATAGCCTTCCACACTAACGTTAAACTCCTTTCATAAGTCCCTTTCAGTCCCATCATCGATAGATTTTATATATATGTATGTGTGTATATATATATATATTATTGTATGTGTGTGTGTATATATATTTATATGTCTTGTGCTCATGTATATTTAGTTATTATGTATAAGATAAGTACTTTCTATTATAGTATGTTTATATTAGTTAATTACTTCTTTACTAAAGCCGCATTCGTGTCTTTCTGTACTCCTAAAGGTTGACTGGCAGAGAATGCTTTTAGCGTTAAGTCCGCCTTTTGTCCATTTTGTAATTGTGGCAATAAAGTTTAAATAAATAAATAAAAATAAAAGCAACCATCTACCGCTAGTGTAGCCAGTTCAAACGTGTTCATCTTAATTTGGGGGATGAACAAAGGAGTGGTCGTCCTACGACGGCTGTCACCGAAGAAAGTGTGCTGGCAGCAAAAAATTTAATTCAAGAAAACAGACGAATCACGTTCGAAGAGATTCAGCATACTCTGCAGATTAGTTCAGGAAGTGTTCACAAGATTTTGCACGAGCACCTTTGCGTAAGGAGGATAGTTTCCCGCTGGGTGCCGCACAACCTCATCAAAGTTCAGAAGCATGCCCGTGTGGATTGGTGCAGTCGTATGATGAAAAATTTGATGCAGGCTCGTCAGGGCGTGTTTACGATATTGTGACAGGCGACGAATCCTGGATTAATCAATACGATTCAGAAACAAAGCGTCAGTTGACAGTTTGGCTGTTTCAAAATGAACCAACGCCTACGAAAGTGAAGCAATCGAGGAGCGCAGGTAAAATTTTGATCGCTAGTTTCTTCACTTTGACGGGGTACCTAATTTCAATTCTACTTCAATACGTAGCGCAACAAATTAGCCCAAGGCCCAAGCACGAGTTTTTGACAGCTCCGTAACGTAAGGTTCGTCAAAGTTTCTACGAAAACTAAGCAGCGCCCCACTATCGGATGTAAGAACAAACTACCTTTTTCAATACAGTCGCGAAATAGACGATGCAGTAGGTGTGCCGCTTCAGCAATCCTCACCTTGCCTGAACCCAATTCCCTACCTCGCGGAGCCCTAGAACCCAGCAGAAACACCAAAATGAAGTGTTATTTTACTGTGAACTTCTGTAAGGTGGCGGATGCTTCCCAAGACGGGCGCTCTGATTCGAGCGATAAATCAGCTATTCCCTACTTCTCTTAAATATCTCATAAAAAATAGGTCATAATTTTTCAATCCGCCTCAATTGTAGTAGTGATCTTGTTCAAATGTCGAGACGCCGGCGCGCGCGCGTCTGCCAACAACAAGGAACCGTTTTAAATTTAGCGTTGAGTGACAAATTATATCCAAATAGTTTATTCCATTGAGAATGTCCGCAGAATTCTTAGTTTCGCAATGAATTTCGCGTTATCCGCACATGAGTTTTTGCCGGGACATCTATTTATCTAAGTGATACGATTTCTTGGAACTTGTTGATTTTGCTTTCAAGAGTGTACTGGAAAAGTGTTTTTTTGTTGTCTTTTGAAATTTTGTGTTTGATAATGATTCAGAAGAGTGCCAGTTGGCAAGTGTACCGTAATGTAAATTCAACCAGTAGTGATATATCTACCTCTTCATCAGAAAATAATGAGACTCCTTTAAAAAAGTAAGTTTTTAGATTCTTAGAAGTGTCCCCTCTCTCTAAAAGAAATACCTGGAAGTTCTATTTCTTATAGTAAGAAGGTAATTTTGAGAAGAGCAATATAATTTTCTATTCTGTATATAAAATCTTACCTTTATGTAAACTGATAAACAATTAAAAGTAAAGAAAATTTTACTAAAAAAAAATCACGTGGTTTGTTGTTTTTTTTAGATTTAAAAATCTAGCAGTAGTAGCAGTTAAACGCTTAAAATTAAAATATAATAATTATAAATTTGTTTATAATTCTACTTTAAGCATCTAACTGTTAGAATAATAAATCTGAAGAAAATATAACTAGAAAATATTTGACTCGGTACATCCCGTCAATGCCGAATCTAGAAACATTTTCTTTAGATTTATAAATTAATTTATTTTATATCTTTTTAGCATCAAAAAGAAACAAATTACATAATTAATATGTAGGAACTTTCATATTTTTTCTTTATTTAAGAAAAGGTAGATTACTTAAGAGATAAAGGTAGAGAACTTTACATTTCATAAACTTTCATAACTTTCTTTTCCCCCATGTGCTACTTATCATTGAAAAATGACGTAGATGTTACAAAATTAGACGAATGAGTAATCTCCACTAAGATTCATCGATCTTGAAAAATCCAATCCACTTTAATCCCCGTATCTTTATAATTTCAATGTTTAAATTACAAAACTGCACAAAGTAGAGCGAAGTAAACAAATGTAAATAGATTGCGTTTACTTAAGAGAATATGTGTTTACGACGTTTTACCTGCTATCCTGTGCTAGCTGGCGATGATTAAGCTTTGAAACACAAATTTTATAAACATTCTGAAAATTATACTGGAACATATTTTTAGATTTTCCTCATACTAAGTATAGTATCCGTCTGTACCTTAAAGCCCAGCCGCTCGCTTCTGCATCCATGCTTTTTTAATATTTTTTTCATCATTCGAAATGAAATGATTAAAAGAATTCAAAAACAATGGTTGTCAGCTGTCAAATAATCAACATTTATGTATCTGATTACAACTGATAACACTTAAGTTACGAGCTTTACGGTCCGGCAGAAAAGGGGTAGAAACCATTGCCGTAAAACCGAAATAGAAAAAAAGGGCTCGCGGCTGATTGAGACCTGGCAACCGCTGGTTTTTAAATTCTTCACATGATTTTCTTTCACATTACGTAAAATTTATAAACCAGGACATATGAATGCAATTTTCATAAATATATGGATGTCCCTAAATACTTATTCATTGTATTCTCACTAAACATCATTAAAATTAAGTGAAATTAAAAATACAGATGGCGCAAAATAAGTGGCGGGATCTTGATTATTATTTGTATTGTTTTAGTTGAGGAAGTTGCCCGCTATAATTCTTAAACACCAATTTAAACAGGGTCTCGTATTAAAATAATACCTACAACCTCCACTGTAGTCATGCAGGTGTGACAGATTGCAAATTGGCAAAACACAGCAATCTTACAGAAACCCATAGCCTAACTAAATCTTTCTTTGGGGTCGGTCCCTCATGTTTGAAGATCGTGGTGAGCGTCAGGGTTGCATCTGGAGCGGACGAGTTGCTTATACAAGGCTTTCACCGGTTTCTGTTCAGCGCCTCTCTTACCATACATACAATTCGGATGAGGACGAATCTTTAATTTGGTCGGTCCATCTTATTGGAGAACGACCGCGCGATCTTATTTATGCCCTCGGTGTACCCAACCATAATAAGTTATTCCGAAATTGCGTTGCCTTTGCGCATTTTATGACATTAAATTCGAATGGAGTGCCCGTCTAGGGAAGTACCCTCCACCTTACAGAAGACAACAGTAAAATAACACTTTTGGTGGTGTTGTGATTCTGCCAGTGAGTAAGGTTCCAAGTCTTAACGGGGTAGGAGATTGATCAGGGTAGGCAATGGTGCGAGTGATATTATTTGTTTCGTAAGCGTCTAAGTGTCGCCGCACACGGGCCACCGACCACAACCACAAAACGCCGCCACCGGCATATTTCTTGTAGTTTTAATACATTTTATATGGACTCGCCACACACGGTACACCGGTGGCCGCCACACGCTACAAATCGTCGTTGCATGCTTCTTGTGGTCCGCACCGGCCACTTAAGCGCCGATACAAAACGACGCCACACGTCACACGCGCGATTCCCCACCCCCTCTCTCCCTTGCCTTAGTCGGCCGTTGTCGCGCGCTTCAGCCACTTTAGTAGCCGCTTCTAGCTTCTCGTGGGGGCGTTTGTGGCTGTGGCGTGTGGCCCCAGTGCGCCGACACTAAGTATAGGCCATGGTGGTTGATTACCATCAGGCGGCTTTTCCATCCTTTTAACATAAATAAAAATCAATCCAACCAAATATTTGGTACTTAATTGTTGAAGGCGATGGGCTGGCAATCTGTCACAATTATTTCTAAGCGACATCGCTGTGCTGTGACCCAATTAACATCAAAATGTGGCGCCTAGTTGGAGTGTTGTGGCCATCTCTCCATTATCCCTCTTTAATATTTCATTTCATCGCCTATTTTTTTCGCATGTCGCGTTACATTTTTTATTATTATTAAAAAATCACATCTTGTCAACAAGCATAGATGAGTCAGTGGTAGAAAGCTAACCTCCTGCGCGGGCGAGCCGGGTTCGAATCCCAGTCGAGGAAGGACTTTCTTTAGCAATGACTATAAAAGCTTTACTTGCATCGTGGTTCATAGAACCTGCCTGATCTGTGATCTAATTGGTCTTTTGTAGGAAATTGCACAAACAAAAACATAAGTAAAATAAAAACCCCGCTTGCATGTACGACTTCATCTGCGTGGAAATATCGGTTACCCGTACAAACTTCCACTCTTATAATATAACCCTTATATCCACGATATCTAGGATAAGAACTATCCTATTCCTTTCCCGAGATTCAATATATTAAAAATTCGCAATTATAATATTAGTATGGAAGAACGGATATTTAAAATGTTTAGGAAAAACTAAAATATGCCTATTAGATTTGAACCAACACATGTAAATAAAAAAAGATTCTCCCCTAAACAACTGCAGTGACTTTTATTTAATCTTAGGAAAAGTAAAATAATGTTAAGTTTTATTAAAAGGGATTAAATTGGTCAATAATAAATACATGAAAATTATTCTCAAAAAACAGTTAAATTATTAAAGTCTTATAGTCCATTTTCATTGATTCTCTTTATAAAGGTCCACCCCTATTTTTACACCCTTAAGGGATGTATTAAGGGATAAAAACTATTCTAAATCCTTCCCGCCCAAGTATTTCCATACCAAAATTCATCTAAATTGGTTCAGAGGTTATTGATTCCCTATACAAACTTCCACCAACTTAAAGGATGATTTCTGGGTTAGCAACTATCCTTTGACCTTTCCTGAGGCTCAAAGTATCTCTATACCGAATTTCATCTCAACCGGTTTAGTGATTTAAACACGACGAAGTAATAGAGAGACAGACACACTTTCAAATTTACAATATTAGTTTGGATATACTTTTTAATAGATATTTAAGCAAATGATTCTTCTCCATCTGACGTTAAGTGGTGGTAAAGTCCAGACACGAAAATATGTATGTTACGACAGTATGATTTAGTGTGGATTTAATGTACGTCGACGTAACGTACGACAAAGAATTATTACATGTGTACTGTATACTATTTTATCGAATTCCCTTTTTTTATTTCAACGGGCATTGTTAAAAGAAAAATCTGCAAATATTAACTAAGACACCTTCACATTATTCCTTCTTATAATGATAATAAAAATATGATTGTTATTGTAATCTATGGAGAAACAATGGTTTCTGCCTTTGTTTGAATTAGTCGGTGATTCTCAAGACAAGGTGTTCTTAGTATAATTTCCGTCACGATTTTTATATATCTTCATCATCATCCTGAGTAATAGGAGAATAATGCTTTCCAGAAAAGTTATATGTACCTACATATAAACCGTTTCAAGCGAAGTTTGACCATACCACAGATTAGAGATAGGAATTTTAGAGTCTTTTCAAAATAAATTGATTAATTCAATTATCATGTTCTTCACATTTGGTTAAAATCCATGGCGGCTAGTTGGGAGGTAAAGTTTTTGTTTACATTCGGTGTCCAATCGTTTGAATCGAACTTTATTCGGTTTATTCGGAAAGGGGATTGTTTTAGAGGAAAGTTGTATGCAGTCACCGAGTAAGCAGACTTATTCGTAATAATAAAACTCATCTGTACCTACTGTAGGTACAGCAGCTTCAATTTTCAGTTTTGGAAAACAATTGAGTGTTGTCCTAATCCATACTTTAATATTATAAATGCGAAAGTGTGTCTGTCTGTCTGTCACCTTTTTACGCTTAAACCTTTTTTATTCTATATATCACCCTTAAAGGGGGTGAAAAGAGGGGTGAAGTTCATATGGGAAACCAAGTTTTCCACGCAGACGAAGTCGCGTTTCATAATGCATGGCACACACTAGTAAAATATATACCTAAGTATATATATATATATAAGTACGTTTTATTTGCATAATTACATCTTTGTTAAGATAATGATAATTAGCAACCTCACAGAAGGTTTTTCTCATTTATCAAAGGTGCCATGTGCAGATAATGTCATCATCATCATCATTAACGTCGCTATCTAACTAACTAACGTAACAATTACTGCTAACGGCACAGGCCTTCCCTGTTGATGGAATAGGGAATGATTACGCCGGACGAATAGTACAGAAGCAGCCGCTTAAAGAAGTTTCCGAAGTACGGAGGAGCTCGAGATTACAACATTTTTCAACCATGCTCTGACTGCCCATTGCAAAAGTTGCATACTTCCACTATCACAGATCGAACTCAATGCGGCGAGTAGAGTTCTTCCTGCAGATGTTATTTGTGTACTCTTGCATAAATTTAATGTTCTATAAGCATTTTAAAAAAATATAAGGCAGTTTTTCTTATCTGTCAGCCCACATTGCAACAAAGACTCAAATATCAGTAGAATTAAATAATTCTCCATAAATAAGTCATCAAGAAATCTACGCACATACAATACAAAAGCACAAAAAGGCGCCTAACAAAGATCCTCCCTTAGTGCTAAACTTAGACACAATAAGCTAAGCTATGAGTCACCTGCCTACTAACAACGTACTAACTAGCCTTCTTCCAAACTGCGAAAAAGACAATGCAATATTGCGGAATTCGTAGCATAATGGCACAAAACAATACGTCAATTTATTATTATTAGTCACTAAGCAAGTAGCTTGGTTCTTAGCACTAAGCGAAGGTCTTGGTTATGTACCTACACACTTACTACAAACTCAAAGAACTCCCAATCGAGATGCGGTAATCACATAGAGTGCGTAGCTTATACTTAGTATATTTTTTTTATGTTAATGAGAAAATGGAATACACATCAAATTGGAAGCATTATTGTAATTCTTAATGTTTGATACGAATAAAAGTTCTTATCTCATTTGACATGTGGCCATCTTGGCATAATGCAAAGAGATATGAGCGTTCTCTCGCAGAGACGAAATTCGTAGCATAATGGCACAAGGTGGCCCATTATAGTCAATGTATACGCCTGGATAACGAAAGGTTTTGGCTCGATTCCAACTTAATACCCGGGCTGAGTTGAATTTTTTCTGGTAAAAATTGTCGTTTGATATAAAAATCAAGCAGTGCCTTTAATTCCCAAACGAAATCTACGTCTTTACAATAACGGAGTCCCATGCGAAATGTTTCATTAACTTTGCTACGAATATCCGCTACGAAGTGAGATTTTGAGTCGTAATTTATGTTCTGCCGGATAGTAGAATACAGAAGGTTGTAGAAGGAGTCTCTTTTAAGATTACCTTTAGACATTAAGCATTGCACTATAACTATACTAGCAAATATCAAACCTCAGAAAAATCTCAGATTACAGAACAAAAGGTAGAGCGTACGGAACACGCAATGCGTGGCACCATAGCAAATACTAAGTCAAAAGCGAATATCAATTCGTGTCAGTACCCTACTACGCATTGTATTGTGAATACGTCCCATGAATATTAAGTTTTTATCAAAACTGTGCCGCTTTGTTCAAACATTGTAAAAACAAAGACAAAAAAGTCTTTACTTTTGATGACCTCCGTGGTCGATTGTTTTGTCCAACCAGAGTCCAGAGGTCCCGGGTTCGAATCCCAATGGGGGCAAATGTTTATGTGATGAATACGAGCATTTGTACTCCAGTAATGGATGTTAAATATGTATTTCTATATAAATATACTCATATAATTATGTATCAGTATATGTTTCTATCCGTTACCCTAGTATCCCATAACACAAGCCTACAGTGCTTACTTTGGGGCTAGGGTAATTGGTGTGAGTGTTGGAAATATTTATTTATTTACTTTTGACTGCGTATTTGCTTTAGTGCCACGCATTGTGTTCCTTGTGCTCTATCTGCCTTTTGTTCTGTAATCTGAGAGGTAAATGATATCAAAATATAGAAGGTCATTGATATCAAACAATAGGGATGATGACAAACTTTTTTTCTTCGTCTATCAGGTAGATTATGAAAAAGTATTGGACACGTATTTATTTCTTTTTTTCACATAATCGAAACATTACAGAGATATATACTGATTTGACGTCTTCGTACAATTTTTTACTTAGAAGTGAGGTCACAAGCCTCCACTTCCAATGACGCGCTTTATCTTTGTAATTTTTTCATTAATTGGCAAAAGAAAAAAAATATTTATTGATAATCTTACTGAAGGATTTAAAATCTAAATCTCTAAAACGGACTAAAGTCCGTTTTCAGAATTTAGTTTTCCCCGTCATCATCTCTATTGTGGCGGACCAGAATTTTTCTTATCTTTTCTTGCTACCCTTTTCCTTTGAACTGTATTGAATGAATGATAAATAATATCTTTTCTGCAGATTTAATCGGCTGTTTCGCACTTCCGTGGCCCGCCGATGGGCCTACTTCAAAAGAGATAGGTCTTCCTTGTGGGTCCGCGGGCGATCGGTGTCCGATACAGAGCTCAGTATCATCATCAATAATGGTAAGGCAACTTATTGTATCTATTTAGTAAAAGACGACCTCCGTGGCCGAGTGATTTGTACGCCGGATTTCAAGGTGTCGCCTACTCGAGAGGACCCGGTTTCGAATCCCGGTGGGGGCAGATGTTTGTATGATGAATACGAGCATTTGTACTCCAGTCATGGATGTTTAATATGTATCACACTTATCACATCACACTTATATTATAAAGGCGAAAGTTTGTGAGTATGTGAGTGTGTATGTTTGTTACTTCTTCACGTTTAAACGGCTGGAGCGATTTTAATAAAATTTGGTATGGAGTTAGCTGACACCCTAGATTAACACATAGGCTAACGTTTTTTTCCGAAAAATGTTAGGTTCCAGAGGGATTTTCAAGAAACTAAGTTAACGCAGACGAAGTCGCGGGCGACCTCGAGTTTCTATATAAATACACTTATAAATATATGTACTGTACATGTACATATTCTATCCGATACCCTAGTACCCCATAACACAAGCCTTACAGTGCTTACTTTGGGATAGGCTAACTGGTGTGTTTTTTACATATCCTGAAATATGAGATATAGGTGGTGGAAAAACTTCTTGAGCAAAATCATAGAAAAATAAACTGCACTTTAGACAATTTTGTATGTAAATTGTTACTGCGCAGGTTTCCTTGTCTTTAATGGTCGATGCTCAAAAAGTATATTTACCCATGTTATTCTGATTTAACATAGGAGACAGAGTACAGAGTAGGACATAGAGGACACTCGACTAGAATTGGACCACCCGTCTGGGGATTTTTAATTCTTTTTTCATCTTAAACCAACAGTAGTACATAAAACTATTACTATATACTAACTACATAGAAATGACCCTGGAAACTATAGGCCTATATCAATATTACCGGTTCTTAGTAAAATATTTGAAAGAATTATTCTGGAACAATTGATGCCTCATTTCAACCTTAATAAACTTTTGCATAGGAAACAATTTGGTTTTACTAGAGGTAGATCTACTACTGATGCTGGTGTTGCACTTGTAAGGAGTATATTGGAGGCTTGGGAGAGGTCGCACAATGTCCTTGGAGTGTTCTGCGACTTATCCAAAGCTTTTGATTGCGTTGATCATCACACGCTGTTGTTGAAATTGAGTCATTATGGAGTCAAAGGTACTGCATATAAATTGATACAGTCGTACCTCAGTTCCAGAATACAAACTGTAGAGGTAAATGGTGTTAGATCATCTGGATCTCATGTGGAAATGGGCGTTCCCCAGGGTTCAATTTTAGGTCCCTTCCTGTTTCTAATATATGTAAATGATTTGCCATTTTTTGTGGAAAATTTGTGTGAGATTGTATTATTTGCTGATGATACATCTTTATTATTTAACGTTGACAGGCGCAAAAACAACTATGACGATGTAAATAATGCTCTCTCGCAAGTTCTGCAATGGTTTAATGTCAATAATCTAAAGCTAAATGCTAATAAAACCAAGTGTATTCAATTTTCCTTACCTAATGTAAAAGTTGAGCATATTGGAATTAAATTAAATAATGAAAAATTAGATTTAGTAGACTCGACTACATTCTTGGGTATAACGATAGACTCAAAACTGCAATGGAGTCATCACATTACGCTTTTGGCTGGTAAACTTAGTTCAGCAGCTTATGCCATAAGAAAGATAAGACAACTTACTGATATAGATACTGCCAGGACTGTATATTTTAGTTACTTTCATAGTATCTTATCATACGGCATTTTACTCTGGGGAACAGCAGCTGATATTGAAAGTATTTTCATTTTACAAAAAAGAGCTGTGAGATCTATTTATCAATTGAGTAGCCGAACATCTCTTAGAGAAAAATTTAAAGAAATTGGAATTTTGACTGTTGCTTCTCAATTCATTTACAATTGCATACTCCTCGTTAAAAATAATATCAATTTGTATACCAAACACAGTAACGTACACAATTTGAATACTAGGAATAGAAACAAGCTTGCATTGCCAGCCTACAGGTTACAGAAGCTTTACCGATCTTTTATGGGTCAAGGTATACATTTTTACAATAAAATTCCTGATGCTGTTCTTGAGTTACCCATAAATGAGTTCAAATGTCACATTAAAAGTTGTTTAGTTAAGAAAGGCTATTATACTATTAAAGAATACTTGAATGACAAAACTGCATGGCTGTAACTGCAAAATTGTTTTGTATTTGTTTGCAGTGTCGTACAGATAAATTACCTGAACTCTAAGTAACCATTTTGCAGATTGGTTTTAGTGGTTATGGGTAGTCATGCTCTCTTAAAAATCTCTTCGGCGGTGTCGTGTGAGGCGGGTCGTTGCGTTCCCTAAAATATGGTTGAGCGAAGCGATGGCTGGTTCATGCGTCATGCTCGTGAACGGGTGCTGCCAGCGGAGATGAGTCTGCTCTATACTACTTTATTATTGTAATGATAATTATTATTAAATTTTGATTGTATTTTACATTACACAAATTGTATCTATACTGTATGACACAGCAATCAAAATGTAAGTGAACATATATTATTTCTCTGATAAAGATTTAATGGCGGTGTGGATTCTGGTATGTTTTTCTAGACCTGAACTTGGTTTTGCAGCGGTGTATCCTTGTCATTCTCTATACAGACTGAAAAGGGGGGACTGATGTTGGATTTGGTTTTTGGGTTGGGAGAGTATTGCCAGAGTCGACAACAGTGTTTAGGTAATCACATGCATGTGTCCTGCCGTTGTGTTTATAGTTTGTTATAATAATGTACACTGGTACCTATATGTATTTTTTTTTCTATTTTAGTAACATAGTATCCACGTGTGGTTATGAGTAGTCATGCTCTCTTAAAAATCTCTTCGGTGGTGTCGTGTGAGGCGGGTCGTTGCGTTCCCTAAAAAATGGTTGAGCGAAGCGATGGCTGGTTCATGCGTCATGCTCGTGAACGGGTGCTGCCAGCGGAGATGAGTCTGCTCTTAATTCACTGGGTACTATTAATCGTTGTTCTAAACTTTAATCGTTCATTATTATTATTTTTTTTGCCTAAACGGTAGGACACGTCATTCCTAAACATTCCTAAACTTTGTTAAACCATTTTATTTACATATTTTTATTTTTTATTTTATAGTCATAATTTTTATATTATTTGCATTTTTTTTTTGTTTGTAATGAAAAGTGAGTTTATGAGTTACCTCATATTGAAGTCATTTTTCAATTTGACGACTCTGTATATAATACAGGGAGAAAAAAACAGCCCTTGCTGAGTTTCTTGCCGGTTCTTCTCAGTACAAGGTCTCCCGCCGTAGATTTGCGAACCGATGGCGTAGCTTTTCGACATTCACAAGTGCTTGTAACAGCCTAGACTGAATAAACGATATTGAATTTTGAATTTTGAATTTTTTTGAATTTTATTACCTCCGGTACCCTTAGCACGTACTAATATCAAATTCGAATAGTTTGCGAGTCCGAAATGTCATTGTCAAATGTGTACCTACTGATTTTAAGTTCTCGTTACGTACGTTGTGGCGCTGCTGTTCAAGCTTCCATTCAAAATTTGACAATGAGATTGTGCACTCGCGATCTATTCGAATTATAATAATTAATTAATTATAATTCGTGCTAAGGGTACAGTTCCATATTATTAAACCCCATTTGTTATTTCAGCTGTTAGTTACACTAAAATGTAAACACTGGTTTGGTATGTGACTCATATTTCCAGAACTTCACAGGACTCTACACTAGAGTAGGGTTACGCTTATTTTACACCGAGCTTTGGTCTTTTATCTGGTGCAGGTATTGTCAGGTTATGGACAAGTACTGTACCCCAAGCACGAAATCTGATAGATCCATAACCGCAACGCATCGGCAAAGTTTCTATGGAAACTAAACAGCGCCCCTACCAGACGTAAGAACAAACTGGCTCATCCCATGGAATATTTGACGATGGCGGTATGATAAAAAAGTTTGTGCTTGAGGTAGTGATTCCATTAGGGTAACCGCGCTCATATGAAATGAAATGTTTTTTGTGGCCGCCAGCGGTGCGGTACTGCGCTAAAGCTTGTTTGTTATTAATCCTATATTTCAAATAAGCAAATAAATACAATATTTCCCGACAGCTTCAAACATACATTGCGATTAAATTTGCCAAACATTATAACTGATCAAATACGAAATGAAGCCGAATAGCTTCTGTAGAGTTCTACGAAGACCAAGTTTTGGGCACAGGCCAGTTTACGTATTTACAATGAATTGAATAATGATTGGTTGACTATAACAGTATATGATCGTGAAAGTTAAGCAACTTTCGCAATGGTCGGTCATCGGCTAAATTTACTATCTCGAGCTCGTCCGTGCTTCGGAAGGCACGTTAAGCCATTAATCCCGGCTACATCTACAGCCGTTTTTCAAGCATATAGAAGCTCTGTGCCCCAGCGGTGGGCACATTAATAGGTTGATGTGATGCTGTCTTTGTAACCCTTCTTGAGAGAAATAAAAAGATGATGATTATTATTATTAGTGTGACTTTAAAGTTATGATGTTATTTTGTTCAGAGCGCGCGTTCTGCGACGTCCAGGGATTTCAAAGGCGGTCGCTGCAGGTGTACGGCGCCCGCGCCGAGCCGCCACTTCCCACATTGTTCGTCACGTGAGTGGAGTCGCATTATTTATTTATTACCTACTAGCTTTTGACTGTGACTTCGTCCGCTTCACCTTGAAATTAGATGCAGCCAAAAATTACGTGGGGTTTAAAAAGGTACGAAGAAGATTACGTCCTCTAATAAGTTTTTGAATGATTGTATAAGAACAAGAAAATATTTTTTTTTTAAACCCAAAGTGACCAAAATTCATGCCTAATTTCATAACGCTATGTTGGAACGTTTTTCAATATCTCGTAAAAACGGCAGAACCGACATTATCAATTATGGAGTAGGGAATTTTGCAATGAGCGATGGAGTTCAAAAACTCATAATTACTTGATGTCACACAGTTGAATAGACATTTCGGTAACGCAGAAATACTAAAAGAGTTATGTTTAAATTAAACCTTTAATAATAAATAAATTTACATTTATACCTTATGCTGATTTCCATGTAACAAGTAACCCTATGTTTACTGTAGTAATTATAATTTCAATGACAGTATTTTTCCAACGTTCGTTTGTTATGTTTGCCAATTTTTTTACTATTAAACTGTTGTATTTATAGTGTCGTGGAATTTTGGCGCGTATTTAGTCAGTTTTCTTCGAAAACTACTTGATTGTTTAAAAATTATTAGTGTTTTGGTTAGCACTTGCAAAGCAATAATACTTATTATTAGACTTGCAACGAATATTCGGTTACTATTCGGAATTGGACCTATTCGGCTGCTTTTATTATATTCGGCCGAATACCGAATATCTACATATTATTCGGCCGAATACCGAATACTTAAATAATATATTTTGTAATAGAGAAATAATTGGTAAAATTAAAAATTAAAATCGATTCATTACTTCTTTATATTCATATTTTCATTTCTGTTATATATAATCATTTAAGGAGTCATTGGTACATAATACAGGTACATAATATCATCTTCTGAATTGGAAAAATGGAGGATTCTATGTATTTGAATTATTGTGGTAATCAAAATTTAGAAGGGTAAGGATCTCATTTCTTTTATAATCATTTATTAAGTAGTCATTGGTACATAAAACAGGTACATAATTTAATCATTTTCTGTATTAAACAAGTTAAGAATTTTTCTATGCTATTTATTATTTTCATAATCAAAATTTAGAAGGGGAAGGTTACGATGCAGAAAGACTAACTTTTCTGCATTTTTAGGAAGTAGTTTACTTCTTTTTTTCTCGTAGACCATCCCAGCTTCAGAAAAAAGGCGCTCTGAATAAACACTACTTCCTTGCGCCGGCAAATATTTTGCTGCAATCTTAATCAAACACGGAAATTCAAATTTCCTTGCTTGCCACCATGTATACGGGTTGTCATGACGTGATATATTACTAATATTTAAGAAAAGATCAGAACAAAACCAAGGAGCGCGAAACAATCACGTCTGTACAAGTTTTTGGCGCTAAAATCCAGCCGAATACTTTTACCTAATATTCGGCTATTCGGTCAGGGGCCTCGCCGAATATTCGGTATCCGGTATTCGGTATACTTGCGAATATACTATTCGTTGCAAGTCTACTTATTATACCTACTTACTTTAACCTAAGTTCTAATAATAGTTTTAGTATCAACAAAGTAATTACTTAGGTAGGTACAAAATATTCCTATTAAAAAAAACTATTTTAATTATTAGCATGCCTTTACTCTCAAAACTACCAATTTTTCTGAAATAAATAACAAAAACCCGATAAATATTCCTATTAACAATTGGGAGTCGTTAAACTACCGTTTATTTTCCAAATGGCCGTGACATTGTTAAAACATTCATTCATAAATCAAGCAAACATAATATCTGCAGAATGCCAAGTAAATGTACCTACCAATAGTTTCAATTAGCTGAAGCTGAAGCAAACAAAATATGATTTTTAAATTTTCTTTGCAATTTATTTCTTTAGTTCATATTAAACTTTATTTTATAGAAGCAAAGGTAAAATATGCTGTACTTACTTAATTTTATACTTGGTTAACGAAATTTTTTTGGGAAATCCTGGATTTTTAGGGATAAACATACTCATGTAGGTAGTGTTTTCCAGAACATAAACACAAGAAAGTAAAGTTAGTTGGTGTACGTATATCCAATATACTAATGTACTTCCTAATGTAAATTGGTATACGTAGGTATAAAATTGTCATAAAATTTCGGAAGTACTTTTGTAGGTACATACTTTAAGATGATCGTTTCGTAAACCGATTACATAGTTAAATCTAATCGGTTCATGAAACGTTACATGGTAAAATATATTTACGTCATTATATTATTTAACAGTTAGATCTTCAATGTACTGTATTTGTTCAATAACGAATTAAAAAATACCTAATACACTTAGTAAAAACAAATACATTCCGTACCGTAAATCAGAACCGAATATCACGGTCTACATTAAAATTAACCTTCACAAAGTAAGAATGGTATTTACTCATATAAGAAAAAATAGTCTTTTGTAATGGTATGTTTAGATATATCTCATTTCCAGAAAACAACGTTAAAGTTAAAACGATACCTAAAAAATAAAATTGCCGCCACTTTTTCTATCATACAATTGCAATCAATATTGTGCGCAATGCACCATTGCGCATGTTTCCCTAGGATTGAGGTTCATTCTTTTGAAATCAAACCAATACTTGGAGAAAATAAAGTTCAATATAGAATAAAGATTTTGTGGAAATTCAGATGACAGCTCCGCGGCTTGCTACGGACAGTATGCATGTGAATTTTATTGTGAACACGGAGTTTTTAAATAATTTTACAGTATATTGGTGTCAATAAAAAAAGCGTACAACATTTGATCATAAAATTAGTCAACTGTATTGTATAAACGATAAAATTATGTGTGACATCAGAGTGATCCAAAATGTGGAGAATCTCAGTGTTTCCGTCTTCTATGTTTTATTTTGATTACACAGTTAATATTGATATTTAAAAAGTTTAATTTAAACATATAACTTAAGTATTTAAAAGGTTTGATATGAAACTAGGTAATGATGTTACAGAAAGTGACATTCGTTTGAAGCGGTTTTTCAACACAACGAGTCACAAATCTACTTTACAATAAAATTTTTATTAGTAAATTTTTAGTTAGTAGAATATAAAGCTCATGTTATAATAAAGGAAGTGTTTTCAAGAAAAAAATGCGATAAGTAGCTTATTGATAGCATAAATCTACATTTTGTTTATTACCGCAATACTTAGTAAATTCTGAGTCATATATTATTAGCTCTGAGTCATAGATTTAAATGAAGATATGTTTAAACGAGTAATTCATGAGATTATCGAAATTGACTAGAGAGAGACACATTTGGCCATTATTTAAAATTCACACGTATGCAGAAACGCTTTAAGCATAAAATTGATTTCACCATATCATCAAGTGTAATCCAATGAACTTCTATGTCATCCCGTAACGTCGCACTATTCTTTATATATTATGAAATGTCGAGCATTTTCTAGGCCTCGATGCAATTCTGTAATAACATAAGTGATAATATAACCCGTTACGTAAGATCTATATCTAACACAACTGAATGTAACATCAATGTTATAGTTAATAAACACTTCTAATAGTTCTACTGATTCACTAAGACAAGATACATATTACATTTATTGAAAAATTTAAAGTAACTTTCAATTATTTCATAATATATACTTAATGTGAAAGGGTAAAATGCACTTTTTTTAATTCAGGCTGTTGACTGAGGTAAAAGCATAATATGATTGGCCTTGTCTCTTGACCTTCTATCTCAATATCTATACTTAAATGTCAAAGGAAAAAAGCTCAGCCTATCCATACGTCAAAGGGCTTTATGTTATGCTTTATATAATAGTACTTTATAGAAAATTGAAAAGATAAAGAAATTGTGCAGAGGATAATAAGTACTCAATTTGCTTCGAATTTAAATTTGATTTTACATCTAAGGAAGATTTCTGGTTTTAACTAGATATAAGTACCTATCTTGTGCCCATATTGTTGAGATCTGTCAGCTATTTAAATCGTTGAGAAAACATATCAATCCAAATAAAAATTTAGTATTTGGCTGATTTAGACAATATCTTATGGTGATGATACATTCTCATATTGAGTAGATTCTTTTCTATATTTCGGTTTTGCTTTTGACATTTCTTCGAACTTTGAACGTTACTATATATTTGAATGGCAATTATACTTAGTTTTTGCTACAATTTAGATTAGCGAATAGAGCAATGACCGTCTGAATGACCAATGTGTGTTTTCAATGATTTGTCTAGGAAGGTTAAACGACTTGGCACCCTTGGCATTAGTTTCGAACTAAACATCTTTGTGATCATGCCAATTTCTTTTAAAAGTAAAAGATACCTCAATAGTCAATAGGGCAATTAAGAACTACTTATTTATAATACGAATGTAAGCTATACGTACTAGTTTTAATTATTTACACAGATAGCCCTGAAATATATCCGAGTTTTCATATTGAACCTGAAATTTTCACAAATTCGCATGTCAGTAGGATTTCATAGAAGGGAAGGAAATATGGATTCAACACATCTCATGGTGCCAAACACATGACATTTAAAATAAACATAGCTCAGTGTTTCTATATAACTAAAGAGACCGGTGTTGAAAGTGTATATAAAATACCAAGTCATTAGTCGCTTGAAGAGAATATTTCGGTAAGTTTTATTCTATTTCAGTACCTAATTGTTTAAACTTGATTTTTTTTTCTTAAATATGTGTATTACCTACCTGATGTCAAGTGAAGACCAGTCGTGATTGATTCGGCAGAAATGTAATCATTTTTTTTATTTAACGTGGGGAATGCATGACGCTTATTAGAACAAAAAGGTGAGCGAGTTATGTCGGACTGTACCATAACCGACTAGACAAAATTTTTCCTAGTCGTTAGGCACGGGCTTACTGACTAAAATCCCACAGTATTTCGTCCTCAGCGATGGGTCGTGGAATCAAAATAAAAAATCATTTATTCAGTTTAGGCTGTTACA